TCCAGCTCTTCTGACAAGGTGTAGAGTAGGACATCATCATCCTAATCATCCTCCCCCTCATCATTATCATCATTATTCACCTTTGTATATCTCCCAGGAGCCTCAGTTGTCCAGTAGGATCCCTGTGTAAAAAAACAAGCAAACAAACAAACAACCCAGAACAACAGGACAGTACCTGTCTGAAACATCTTACAGTCGTGTCTAAGGCTAGATATAACATGTTCAACTATATGGACATGGAGGGGCTTATAAAAGAACAATGAAATTTTTGCAGTGTGATAGGTGGCGTCTCAACACACCAATGGCTGGCCTATCCTTTGTCAGATGTTTATAGGAGCATTTTAAGGAGGTATTTGAGGGAAATAGCCTGAGAGCTCTGCTGATGCTGACAGGAAGTGTGAAAGGCAGCGTGGGAGAAGCTGTTTACTGCAAATCTAACAACTAGAAAGTGGAGACCGATATCATGGGACAAGTGAAATCAGAAGAGGACATTTGCTTTTCTTTTTTTTTTAAAGTTAAGATTGAATGATGATGAAAAGAGCTTTAACTTCATTATTAACATCATTTTTGCAGCCACTGAAGCTCCAAAAGTCACTTCAGCGAGTGCTTGCTGCACTGTGCTTTTCTGCAGTTCTCCCAAGACTGTTGCCAAGAAAAGAGCCTTTCTTCCCCTCAGATCTCCTACTACTGACCAAAAAAATCTCATGCTTTAGCTTTTTGGTGTTCCCAGTCTCAGGCATGATCTGAGAAGGGTGCTAGGTGTGTGTGGCACTGCTCTAACATTTTTTCAGCATGTAGTACATGCAGAGTGGGACCAAGCTGGCTGGTCTTGTTTCTTGGCAGAGGTTTTCAGAATCGCCACAAAGCTGATATCCACATACGCTATTTCATCAAAAAGTGTCCAAGAGGATGCAAGGATGACAAGGGAAGTGTGGATGTAGAAGTAACAGTCACCTAAGAAACCTCAAAACCACAAATAATTAACTAGGGTACAACATATCTTTGCATAGAATTTGTGGCTTCTATTACATTTAATTACTTCCCCTGTGGCTTTAAGTTGAGGGTGACTTCAAAATGAGTGCTCCTTCAATTAAATTTAATTACTTCCCCTAGCTTGTATGGTAAAGGGGTGGCTATTAAATAAGGGCAGCTCCTAAACAAAGAACTTACATTTTACACTTGAAGACCTTACAAATCTTCTGATTTTGGGCCAGACCTCTGAGCAGGTATGTAAGCAGGGAAGAATAGGGAGACTTTCTCCTACAGGCCATGTTACCAGTTGATAATTTTTCAGGGGTTAGCTCCTTTCAAAGGAGCGGAGTAATCTCTTCCACAGACAGCATCCCTGTGTCGATGACTCAGAGCTACCTTTTTAATACAAACCTAACTCCTATCCAAACTAAAATCTTAATCTATCTCTACCATCCCCTCATATACATCTGTCTGCTCAAACTCAACATGACTAAAATATTCTCCAGAGACTGCCCTATTATTTCTGTTCTTGATTGCTATGCACCACTCTCCTGTCTATCATTTATATCCAATATAAGCTGTTTGTCTTTCCTTTCAAAGCCCTTCACACCCTACACCTGACTGACCTGTCATCTCTCATTCACTACTTAGGATGTTGACTCCTGCTATCCCTTGGCCAATGATGCCAGCCTTCATCACCAACTTGTTAGATTTTTCAACAAGAAATTTCCTGCTTTCTTCAGTGCTGCCCCATAACACTTAAGAAGAGCCCCATACACACCTGCAAAGGTACCTCATTATCTTCAGATCCTTCCTTAAAGCTCTCCTTTGCCATGCTCTGTACAAAATTTGGCAAAGGTTATGCTGGCACTGTGCTGTGAGTACTGTTCCTCCAGTACTGTCATTGCTTCTTATGAGAGAGAGGACGTGCATGACTTTTGAACCTAGTCAAGTGAACATTTGCTAGAGACTGAGAGTAAACTGTCTGAGCACTCTGATCCCTGGCCCATGGATTGTTTACATATTTTACATTAAACAGTCGTTAGATGAAATATGGAAAGTCTTTGTTGCAGGGATCAGACCTCTTAGGTGAGTGTCCGCACCACTAGGATGAAAATTTTTCTCCCTTTAGCTCAAAAAGGGTTTAGACGTACCTTTCCTGTTCAGTGTTTTGGCAGCATAGGCAGCATCCCACTCAGCATTCTTGCTGTTACCATTCTGAGGCTCCTAACTTTCCCATGGCATCTAAAAGAGGTGATACATACCACTGTGGGCTGGCACCTAAACAATAGGCTTTGACTTCAAGCTTTTCAGTATCACAAGTGAAATTTGAATGTACTAACTCTCCTCTTCCTTTCACTCATTTCTTAGGAAGCCACACTTCAGCTCCACTTTTTTCTGCCTTCCCAGTCTGTGAAGAGGCTTCTTAAGAAACACTGAATCTCACAGGCAGGTAGTGGTGGAACTGCAGTAATGGGGAGCAGTCTCATACAGGAGTGCACACGTGATTTTTCTGGGTATGAAGAGTTGGGCAGGGTCCCAAGAGTTAGTGGTCAGGAATAGTATCACAAGAACTCAGGCTAACACAGGGATGCCCACACCAGAATGTGAAAAACATACTTTCCTGAGCAGATGACAGTAAATTTGCAAGCATTTTGCTGGAGGTGTTGGTAATATTTATGATCAAGCCTTTGAGTCTCCAGCCTGATACACTGATTGCTATTCATTGCTTTTCATTTTGTCAGTAATTTGTAAGCTTTCTCTATCTTTGCTGTACTTCTCTGGGACTCAAAACATGTTTGAAATCATTTACCTGACTGCACTTTATGTGAAGAACTCCATCCACTCTGCTGTTTTAGATTAACAGTGCATTACAGTGTGCTTCAATGCAATTAGACCTAACAAAGTGCACAAGGAAACTGTTTGGGCCACTTTGTAACCACATTATATAGACTCACTAGTTGGCATTTTTAATCAATTGGTTTGACTTTTACTTACTGGTAGCTACCATTCACAGAGAAAAGTTCATGACGCAGCTGCCTCTTTAACTAAACATAGGAAGAGATTATAAAAATTAGTCTCTGGATTAATTAGGAATAGGCACTGGTATGGAAAGCTTTTAGAAGAGAAGGCCTACAAATAGGGGTTTTGAAATGATTGACCAATTCACTAGTACAGTTGAATTGTAGTGTTTTATTTTCCCCTCTAACATGGTAGGACTGTGGAAATTTTATATATAAAACTTGTCAATCACAGGCTATTTAGGGGTCAGGGGTTAAATTTCACAAGAAACAGAATTTCATTGTATCAGATTACACTGTGGTAATGAAAATGAAGCAGAGACTCAAATTCTTGAGGTTAGGCAGACCTCCTACAAGCTAGTTAGCTTTGTCCAACTCCATTTAATGATTTCTTTGGGTGATGGGTAAATGCTTTTGTGGCCAGATTCTGCAGCTCCTACTTATGCATATCTCCTATTGAAGAGAAGGGGGTAAGAGTGAAACTTGTAGGTTTTGACTTGCAAAACAATGAGCCAGGAGGAACACAGTGCTTTTTAGATACTCAGATAACTCAGTGGGATCTGCTTATTCTTGGAAGGGGTTGAATAACAGCCCAAAGTTGTGAGGGAGAAAGGGAAATGTCATAATGCATTCCCTTATGAAATATCTGCTGGTACATCCCAGTGATTGTGGTGTGGCCAAGAGAAACCTTTCAATTGCAGAAGAAAGTAAGGGGGGGGGGGAAATGATATTATTCGTCTTTGCTGTGTTTTGTGTAGATTTACATTTGCTGTAGCTTGCAGAATTACTAACCTTTCTTCTGCTTCTTCTCTAAGTGATAGGGCAGTATTAACAACATATGCTTTCCAGGCAAGAAGACAAAAATGAGGACTTTTTGTGCTATTAGGGAATGAGCTTTAGGGATTGAAATATCATTTAAAATATTAATTTAACCTCTTCCAATTATACTGGTTAAACAATTAACTGATAACAAAGCAGCTCCCACATAGCTACTGCTAGGAGCCACTCCCAGCTCCTGGGCCCTTTGACTGCGGGGAGGGGAAAGGTAGCAAGCAAGCCCAGTCAGACACATAACCCACCTGAAACCCTACCCTGGGAGGGAGGGAGCACCTGTGAATCAGCAGCTAAGGGCACTTATATACTTTACCATCATTAGGCTGCTTGCTTTTTTCCTCTTAGGCTATAGGTGCTAGTCCACCTTGTCCTTCCCCATCCTGTCTGCCTTCTGATTTCTGCTGGGGTATTGTGTGGCTTCCCTTTCTGCCTCTCCCCTCACCCCAACTGTGCCCACCATGAGCTAAAGAATAACGAGTAAGATTACCAGTTATCACTGCACTTTTGGGTTAAATGATTCATTGTTTAATATTTCACAACCCTAGTGAGATTAGTACACATTTCTGAACTTTTTGCAGATAAAAGTTCCTTTCCTTCCTCTCTGTGTTTTGCCTACTTGCTGCCAGTCCTTCCACTGTTGCACTGTGGATTCTCCTTCTGATCACCACCTCAGACCAGGCTCACCTGCTTCCCCTTCCTTTCCCAGTCATTCCTTCTCCTTTGCTCTAACTCTCTTGTCTCCCTATCCTGTTTTACTTATAGCTTACTGTCCTTCTCTGCACATGCTATTCTGGTCTCTGTTATTACATTAAATTATAACTATTGGAAGGGGGGAGGGCTGAGGGCCGTCTTCTCTTAATTATAGGTGCGTGCAGTACCTACCACAAGGGAGCTTGATTCTAAACTGGGACTTCTAGGCGCTGGTATTGCCCTTTTACTATTTAGGCATTTGTGACAAACAGCCCCATATCACATCACAGAGATGATGATAAGGAAAAGAGATGTGCTCAGCCAGGTTGTGCGCAGGGCACCAAGTGGAGAATGGAGCAGAGAAAAGAAAAAATTTAGTGATCAGAGATCTTGATTGACACAACAGGATCTTGATTGACACATCTGGACAACTAGTCATGCCATCAGAACAATCTTCATCTGTGTATGCACACAGATTAACACTGTAAAATATTTGGGGGAGTGTCATAGACAACTCCTAGCAGTTGAAGGATGCACAGCTTCTTCGTGGTCCATGGCAGTTGCTCTCTGAAGAGTAAGCAAAACAAAAACCTAAAAAAATCTGTGCGCCTTTCAGCTTGTGAGCCTAAGTGACCTGAAGCCCCTGACTTCACAAAGGAGATCTCTCAAAATCTTGTCTGTTGTAGAAAGAGAAGCAAGTCTGATTATTCAACCATTTACCAGCTACAAGCTGGAGCTGGCAGATATTTGAGCCAGCCCAAGTCTGGGCAAAAGAAAGGAGAAAAGGAGTCCTTAAACTACAGTTTTTTTTTTGGGGGGGGGGGGGGGGGCAGAAATTCAATGGCAAACCTTATTTGTTCAGTCCCCTTTACACTAATAGCCATGAAAAGCCTAGGGTTTAAGCAACTCAGGGACTTGTTCTGCACTAGATTGTAATCTATCTGCCTTTAGTGAGACATGTCACCACAGGGAGCACAGGATTTATTAGTGGCCACACTTGGGTAGCTAGAATGGGGCTGCAGGATAACTTAGGCCCTGGATTATGTGGCACAAGCAAAGTCAAACTGTTGATAGCGTGTCAGTATTATTCTGCACCCGAACAATGGCTAGGCCTAATTTTTGTTGTTGTTTTTTTGTTTTGTTAATTTTACACTTTTTGGTCAGTTCTGTGTTCTTGGGCCAACCCAATCTAAACAGCCCAGATTGTGTTCACACCCTAAGGTAGCGGGAACCCAACCTTTTTGGCAGGTGTGCTGCAAATTAGTCCCATATCACTTCTGAGTGTTACTTGGGTCCCTTTCTCTTGCCCGATCTGCTGCTTTGCTCTGTCTGCCACTGTACTGACTGTCCCCTCCCCAACTTGCCAGGTGCCACTTGTGCCACCCATGCTGCAGGTTGGCCACCTCTGCCCTGGGGAAAGAATACCGCAGGATACAAGGTCAGGTTCCTGCTGCCCTTTGAAGTTCTGGGGGGAAAAATAAATAAATGAGGTTGGACAAAGAAACTAGAAAAATGTAATCAACTTTGCATCTGCTGTTTCTGTGGGTATGATAGTTTTGTGTTGTGGGCAAGGAAGCATTGTTTTGTTTCCTTCACTTTGTTTTGAAGGACTTTGAAAAACCACAGAAGCATCTCTCTCTTTTCTTTTGTAAACTGTTGACATACTGCCCTCTCTGATCTTTGCTTTACTCCTAGCTGGGCCCTGTGTCCTGAGTCCCATATACATTGGCATGCACTAACTTGAAGCATGTAAGCACAGACAGACAGCCTATGTTTGTAGGTAGGTAGAGTAGGTCCACTTGAAGTATGTTGGGAGTGCATCAGTTTAGTTTCGGTTCTGTTCAGTGTTGTAACTTTGTGGTTACAACTGTGGTTTTCAGTCTTTGAGAGGAACTACTGTAAATACTGCTCAAAAACTGTTAATTAGACTGCTTCTTGAAAGACTGAAATTGGTATGGTCCTTATCTGCATTAATAGTTCATCTGATACGTTTGCTTGTTAAGTGTTAAACTGACTCCTGGCTCGAAGCTTTGTCTTCAGAGTACTTTTTTGGACTGCATCTTGAGAAAGGAGATGAGTCAAATGTACATTTTCACAAGAGTTTAGATATGAATTCCTGGCTATGAGTCATAATAAAGAACAATGTCCTGTTCCTAACCTGCAATGAAAAATATATAAACTTCCTTTTGTCTATTGTATTTTGTTTCTAGATTTAAAAGGTCCTTTTGTACTTTAAGGACAAATGACATCATGAATAATTATGCTTTGGAAGCGGACAAGGAAACGGCTAAGTTTCCTGGTCATTATGTGACATAAACAAGCATTTGTATCAAGTGCCAAGTCAGGCAAAATTCAGATATTAACTATATTTAGTCAACTGCATAAAAACCTGGTTCCTGTCATAAAGAGACTTATTTGCTAAGTCTTTTGTGTGTTTCAAACATAGTAGCTCTGAACACAGGATACACACAAACTGAAGGGGTGACATTATTTTTTTTTATGGTTTGTGGTGGATTTACTTATTGCTGCAATACATAGGGTCCTATGACAAGCTTGTTGTTTCATACATGAAATCTATTGACTTGCATATACATGGTATATCTGGCATTCTTCTGACATACAAACTGTGAAATCACTGCTGTAGTTTGATTATTGGATTGTATTTAAAATATATAAATCATTAGTTTGATTTATATCAGTGGTTCTCAAACGTCTTGTACCAGGACCCATTTGTAAACATTGGCCAGCCCCTCACTCCTGCCCTGCTGCCCCCAAGCCCCAGCCCCCCCAGTGTGTGGGACAGAGGGGGTGCCCCAAGCAGCTCTTTCCAGGCCAGACCTCTGCCAGCCTGCAGGGGAAAAGCCATTGTTTCCCATGTTTTTTTTCCATTTAAAGGAGAATCCATTTTTACAGTTTGTTCATGACCCTTTCATATATTCTTGCGATTCACTTTTGGGTTGCAACCTACGGGCTGAGAAACACTGATCTATGGGATATTTTTCTATGTTCTTCCAGTATGGGTTCATTATATGTGACATGTACTTAAAACTTACTAGTTTCTAATTTCTATTATTTGCCTGTTCAGGGGCAATATGCAAGTGAATACAGAATACGTTACTGCCTTCTTGATGTATATATTTGTGTGGTTAGGAATGATGTGTGTGTAGTAGACATCAGTAGACTGGATTTGTGTGTGTAAATAAGAAAACTTTTAATACACATGCTGCCTTTTATTTGAAGTTATTTACAGCAGTCCCTTTCTTGGAAAAGGTCAGTGTGTTAAAGGCCGTTGGTTTCCTGTGGCATACAACTTATGTAAGCCTTGACAAAGTCGAATTTAATTTTCAATAAACTGCATTTTAATATCTGATTTACAAATATAAGCTCTCTGTCTTGCCCCTGTGGGGGTTTGCTATGCTTCTGTTATATTGTGCTAAGCTCCAGCCCCAGAATCTATATAGAAGATCCCACTTTTATATAGATAATCCTAGCGGTTAGGGTCCTAAGGCAACAGGCTAAATGGAAGGAACAGGTAAAAGGAGAAAGAACGTGGTAATATGCACAGAGTACCTTAATTTTCTCCCTGAGCCTCCAGAGGTGTTCCCAAACCAGCCTTTCATCCCAGAGTATTCAAACAGTAACAACATATAGTTGCCTCCCCAGTCTGAGTCCAGCTTCTTCAGTCCCCACAGTTGCCGTTGACCAAGCCAGTGGGATTCCAAGCTCCACTGCGCACTTCTCCTTTGTAGGGCTGACCGGCCTCCGTGTGTGGAGGTTGCAAACACTTCCACCTTTTCTCTCACCTGCTGCAGACTCACCTCCATTCCAGCCCTAGAGGGTTTCTGGGTCTAGTAATCCAAATTAACAGAATCATCATCACAAGGGATCTGGGGTTTCCATTTGCCATGGAAAAATGTGGATTTTCTCATTTTAAGGAGAAAATGCGCATAAAGGAGAAAAAGCACAGGTTTCCCTGTGCAGGCTGACAGAGTTCTAGCTTGCAAGGGACTGGGAGGAGTGGGTGGAGGGTGATCAGGCAAGAGGGACCACATGGCAGCCAGACAGTGTGGAGAGCAGCTCTGGCAGCTCCCTGCAGGTCAGGCTGGGATGCAGGTGGGGATTGAGGCCCCCATAGTGAGGGAGAGAGTTAGGCAGGGCTGGAGCTTGGGCTGGGGGTGCCGCCCAGCTTGAATGGTGCATGGGCTTGGGACTTGAGCCCCAGGACTGGGGCAGGAATGTGCGGCCACAGAGCCTGGCTGGGGAGTGGGACGGAACCATGTCCAGCTCGTACAGGGAATGGCGGGGGAGTGGGGAACTGCCTTCCCACCACTGCACACACAGTCTTGAGGTTGGCATGGAAGACATATACCTCCCCCAGATTTTTGCATGCTGCCCTCCTGCCAGGGCCTCTGCAGCCCAATGGGCAGGACCCAGAGTGGCAGAGTGGGGTGGGGAGGCTCGGTGCTGCCACCAGAAGTCCCACATTGCCATGGCAAGGTGCAACCTGTGGGAATAGCAGCATGGAGCTGTGCTCCCCAATGTTGCTGGGTGGGCAGGGAGCACCTCAGCATGGCAGCACAGGGCTCCCAGCCGTGGCACCCAGTCTTCATGCCCCACTCTGTTCTCCCACACCAGGTCTCGCCTCCTGGGCCCCGGAGGCCCCAGTGGGAGAATAGCAGGGTAGGGAGACCTGAACCTGCAGCAGGCAGCCCACCCTCACCCCAAGTATAAAGCTGGGATACATATGCCCCCATACACCCCCCAGGAGTTTGAGCACTAGCAGGGAGCCCGCCCTGCAGCCATCAGCCCAAACCTCCCCCCCTGCCATGAGCTCCACTCCAGCCGTGTCACCCATGGGGAAGCTGGGGTCTGCACTCTGGCTGCAGCAGCTGTGAGGGTTGTGGGCTGGGAGTGAGAGGCACCGACAGGGCTGGGAGGCTGTGGGTCCTAAATGAAGGTCATTGGAAGGAACAGGGGGCTGTGGGTATTGAGTGAGGGGGGGCCAGGGGGGCTGTGTGTTGGGAGTCAGGGGCACTGGCAGGGCTGGGGGGGCTGTGGCTTGGGAGTGAAGGGCA